ACGGAAGTAAGAGAAGATGGAGACATACCCCTGAAGAAGACTCATCGGATGAACTAAGCTGTCGGCGATCAAAATCTATATCATCCCCACCTTCCTCTCCATAATGCTTCTTCAACAACGGCTCCCCTTTGGGTTTAGGAGATCTGAAGCTTAACTTTCTCTTCCTCCAAGGGAGAATTTTGCGTTTTGAACTGTTCTGTGAATATTGATTATGACCTTCTCCAGTTGCACCCTCAGCATACACACGCCCTGCAACAGATTTGTGATGACTATAAAAGATCAAATCCTCATCTTCACTGCCACTCGTGTTTGTGTAGCATGATCCACCAGCATGCTTCGCATAGGCAAGTGTTTCATAACTGAATGACTTCCGCATACTTGTATCCTCCTTCACTTCATCTGATTCACCTTCCTCCGAATCACCGAGTGAATCTGTGTCAACTGGATATACCAAATCGGTATCATCACTTCTGACCGAGTTCCTTCCATCACTGCCCTCCTCTTCATGACATGCCTTCTTTCGTCGCATAGTAGATAATCCCTTGAAAAGTTTCACTTTCTGCAGACCTGCTTTCAAAGCAGAAAGCTCATTTCTGTCTGTCGACAAAACCTCTGCAGGGGAAGGAGATACTGGAGCAGACATGACAAACTTTGGCATCGTTTTTGAGGCTTCGTGAGCATTCCCCAATTCAACAAGATTGAGAGACAACTGCCATATACAAAATCTACCATGTTAACCAAAAATAAGGGAAAAAAAGGATTATCGATGTAGATCAAGCAAATTTGTTTTGCTTACACAAAGTGAAAGGTTGCTCTTATTGCCACCACTATAGGCATCCAAGGGGATGACTATTTCAATTTCTTCTTTTTCCCTAGCTTTTGAAGCAAAGTCTGCAATGTTCAATGATGCAGCAGCAACTATGGGGACTTTATGGTTCGATCGTTTATTCGTAACCTGCTTTTTTAGAATAAACATGAACAAGTACTTTGTCAAGCAACTTAGAGAGTTCATATCACAAGTATGGAATTGAATAAAACAGTGAATGAAAAGACAAAAGATGCTGTATGAGCAAAGAAAGCAACTAAAAAAAAGGTTGAACTTTTTTTCTTTCCTTTTTTGGGTTAAATCAAACTTCCCTCTTAATTATAAAACAAAAGAT